TTTGAGGGTTGTTGGGAAAAATACTTGGCCTTGATAGAATTTGCTTATAATAATAGCTACCAGACAAGTATAGGTATGCCTCCTTATGAAGCTTTATATGGGAGAAAATGTAGAACTTCTCTATATTGGAGTGAAGTTGGTGAAAGAAAATTGGTTGGTTCTGAGATTGTACAACAAACTGAAGATAAGGTAAAAATTATCAAAGATCGTTTGAAAATTGCTTCAGACAGACAAAAGTCCTATGATGATCGTAAAAGACGTGAAATTGAGCATCAAGTGGATGATAAGGTATTTTTGAAGGTTTCTCCATAGAAGAAGATTATGAGATTTGGCTAGAAAGGGAAACTTAGTCCTCGATTCATTGGACCTTATGAAGTACTTGAGAGAATTGGTCCAGTTGCATGTAAACTAGCTTTACCACCTGAATTAGGCAAGATTCATAATGTCTTCCATATTTCTATGCTTAGAAGATATCACTCTGATCTGTCTCATGTTCTTCATATTGAGTCCATTGAAGTTAATCCTGACTTAACATGTGAAGAAGAACCTATTCAAATCTTGGCTCATGAATTTAAAGATCTTAGGAACAAGAGAATCCCCTTAGTGAAAGTCCTTTGGAGAAATCATTCTGGCAAGGAAGCTACCTGGGAGCGAGAGGAGGATATGCGACTGCAATATCCGCATTTATTTCAAGACTAGTATCAGATAAATTTTGGAACAATTTTATTTAAGGGAGAGAAGGTTGTAACACTCTGAATTTTATAAATAAATTATGTGTATTTAAGTGATCTTGTTTTTATTGCTAATGTTTTATCACTTTTCTTAAATTTAATTTTTCTACCTTATTTAAAAAAAGGTATAAAAAAGACTTATTATATCCTATTATTCAACATATTTTGGTGAAATTTGTAAGTTTGTTGTTAGAGAATTTGAAAGTAAGAGATTTAATTCCGTTTTTGAACTGGACAACAGTTAGTATTTTGAGCGTAACTTTTTCTCTAAAACTTAGATTGTAGTGCTTCAAAATTCTGTAGAAAGATAAGACATAGATCTATAATTATTATGAGACCAAATTGGTCACTTCTTCTGTCTACCATGTCAATAGGAGCCGAAACACAGGGAAGAGTTGCTGCCAGATTTTTATTAAAATAATTGTGACCCATTTAGTCCCCCATTTTGATATTCATCATGATTTGGTTTAAATATTTTTAAATTTCAGATCTTAAGTGAATGTTGATTACGTATTTAAGGTACAAGAGACATACGTTCAAGCTAACGAGCACACCTTAGGAAAATCGCTTTTTTCTTGGCTTAGAAGATCTTAAATCCCTTGATGTCGTTTGAGCTTTAGAAACACTAAAGCTCCAAGGTTTGCACATAAACTTGAGTGTTCCTTTTAATTTAATTTATTGAAATATTGTAAGTGGTTAAGGTTTGGTGAAATTTCACCTTACTTTAAATTTGTTATCATATTGACTGGTTCCTACTTTACTAGTTTACTTGCTTTGTTGCTTGAGAAAGAATATCTTGAGGCATTTTGATTTATTAGTGGTCATTGAGGGTATAATTTTGAAATTGAGTTAGGAATATTATTTACTCGAAAAATGGATGACAATTGAATTTATAAGCAGTTCTAAGGATACGTGGTATAATTCGGTACAAATTAAAAAAATATATAAATGAATATCAAAATAAAATGTAAAAGAAATGAATGCAAACCGAAAGAATTAATTAGCCTAAGCCTTCAAGTTTTATCACCCTCAAACTGAATGAAGAGTAACTGATAGAAGAACAAATTGACTAAATATCAAAATGAGAAAAAAGATAGTATATTGCTTTATGTTCTATGAATCTCAATGAATCTCTGCCTTACAAATAATCAGACCCCTTTTATATAGTAGGGAAGTCATATTCTTAATATAATTTCTAAATACAGTAAAGAATCCCATGATAGATTAATTAATTGGCCTCTCTTTGATATGCGTCGGGATTTCCGCTGAGATTCTCGCCCAATTACGGATATTTCGGTTTTCTATTTTTTGGCTCGATAAGCTCTCCTCAACTTTGGCCGATCTCGATCTTGATCGGTCTCTAACTTGCTCGATCTCGATCGTGATCGGTCTCGATCTTGATCGGCCTCTGGATCACGAGCTCGGCAACCTAACTTCGCATTATGGCTCGATTCTGCACGAGGCTGAACCTTGGTCTATCATGTTTCAATCTCGATTAGTCATACGAAGGGCAAACTCGGTTTTGACCGTATACAAATATGTTAAAAATCATATGGGTGTCATGTGAAGTATTTTTGAAAGACATTTTAACTCGCCCACATATACGGATTGCTTGAGCATCATTGTATTCTTGTTGGGATTTTGTCCCTCTTGTGATAGTAACTTTGTCACTTATATTGGCATGTCTTTTGTTTGGATTTTGACCCATCTTGACTTTGGATTCACATTCCATTTTAATCATGGACTCTGTCCATTTTGAGTATGGATGGGAAAGCCACTTTCAATATGGCTCTTGATTCTCTTGATAATTGGGTGACGACCCTACTTGATCTAGGACTCCGGTCTTTCTTGTTACTTGATTATGCTTTGATGTAATTGCATGACGCTTGTCTTGGGCGAATCAACTAATCGATGGACTTTTGAAAATCTTATTGACATTTGAGATTTTGAATAATGGTATCTTGAACCATTTTATGATTTGATATTTAGCCCTCTTGAGATGATTATACCTTCATAAAGTACTTGATGTTGATTTTACTAAGCTCATATCTAGAATTTATTCCTTGTATTCATTACATAGTTTACCTTTCTTTTATTATGAAATGTTAATAAGTTTATGTGTCACTAAGCTTTATGCTTAGCGATAGTTTGTTACTATCGTAGGTGATGTGCCGGGATATGCTTGAGGATATCATTTGAAGTAGACTCTTTGGAAGCTTAGATGAAGATCACACTTGCATAAGCATATGTATTCTTTTTGTAGACTTTTGGGGACTTGTACATGATCCATATGATGCACTTAATTATGCACTCTTGAATGATTATTGGGTCATGACACTATTATTTTTGTAACTTAATCTTGGTGAATTATTTGACTTTTTTGGGGGTGTTTATGCCCAAGTCTTATAATTTATTAAATCTAGTACTTGAATTGAACTTGGGAGATTTATTTTTGAAGACTTAAGTAGCTTGTATTTGATTGAGAGTTGGATTTTATGCTTAGTTTGAACCTTGAATGGTATATGAAAAAAGATATTCTTCTACTAAGTATTTGGTAAATTTTAAAGTATTGATTTAACTTAAATAGATGTTGCTATTTTCTTATCCTTTTTTTTTTTTTATATATAGTTGTATCTTAAAATTTTAAAGAGATTTTTATGAGATTTTTTTTAAGGGGAGATGTCGTATGTTAAAGTTTATTCATGGGCATATTTTTATTTTTATTTTTATTTTTGCTTTTTGCTAGTTTATTTTATTAAAAGAATGTTTAAATTTATAAGTAGTACATTCATGTTTATAAGTGGCATCTCCTAGGGGTTGCTACATTTTTTCTTTTCTTTTTTTGAATTTCAGTTCGTTATAGACTTGAAATTCTAGTTTCCGGTAGAATATCTTGGAGTCATGGTAATAGTTGGAACCTATTTAAATCGAGAGTGATTGTGATTATGATTGGATAATCTGTCTAGTATCTACTATTTTGCTTATTGACTCCACTTTCATTGTCTATTTAATTTAGCCGATAAATCTACCGATAAGCACCTGATAATCGCTAACCCGATATCGATCATCCCGATATCTTATCGGTTAATTATCGGATTATTACATTTACAAGCCGATAACCGATAAGCCGAACCATTAAATATAAATATCCGCCTGATCCGTCCGATAAACAGTTCTAGCGGAGAGCAGTTATATTTTTATTTTGTTTTATATGTTTGGGAAGTTTTTAATAATTATTCGATGGATCAAATCGTATGTTTTATAATTTTAGGATTGGTTTCAAATTAACACTAACCATAAAAGGGATATAAATTTTTATGAATTAAAACTTGAGATTGAAATCCCGAAAAAAACTTGAAAATGAGTGTTGCAGTGAGATGCCCCTAGAGGCAAAATGCAAATCCGCTTTTTGCTGACTTAGAGAAGCAAGTAGAATTCCTTTTATAGATATTGGAACATGTTGCTTGCACTCACTATGCTAAAAATAAGATTTGTACTTTTAGTTACTTAAATGCTGATAAATTTTGATACTTGTGAGTGGCGATAGTGAAATAGCATATTTTATTTTCAACCATTGAAATACATACTTTTTATTCATTTGCTTGTGAATTTGTGTAAATTTAATGAACTATTAGTCATTAAACCATTTAATTACCTACTGTGTGTTGTTACTCCGTGATTTGAAGGTCACATAGTTCCAAGAACGATCTAAATATGTTACGTTTCGCAGGATCAAATACTTATGTTTTATCACTAAAAGGTATAATATGATGAATATGATCCCATCATCTTAAATCTAAGTATTGAGTTTGAGTCCTAAGAATGAAGAAAGTCTTGACATGAAGCGTCTTTCTCTTTTATTGGCTAAATATGGATTAATCGATCAACCTTGGAAAAGGAGAATCACTTGATAGGGATTATCTTCCCTTTAACGCAAATATAAATTTGTCGTTATAAATAAAAAGCATATATTATAAATAAATTGATCATTTCGCTAATAGTGAATAATTGTTTTTAGAAGTTCCCATCGCACACCAGGATTTATATTAGTTGATTATGACTTTTTAAAATTCCCATCAGCACGATTTTAATCTTTTATTGTGTGGAAAGAATATTCACAATGCCAAATATCAAATGGCGATAAAACCGAACATCTAGAGAGACCTAAGATGAGTAAAAAACCCATTAACTAAAAACCAAAAGCATTTTCATTCATTTTATAATATGTCTACTATTTCACACGTATATAAGAGTAAATAAAAGCATATGTGTCAGATAGAGAAAAAAAAGCTGAGACGCCATTCATTCAAACTCAATAATACGTCCATAATTGGCGTCACTTCTTTTGGCCTTTTTTAATCTCTTTTGACCCACCCATCAAAACTTTCTCCGATCCCCACTTTGTTTCTTCATCATTCCTTCACTTTTCTCCCTCGTTTTCCTTGCTTTCCAAACAACAAGAAAACTAGACTTTTTTGGGCAATCACAACAATTAGAAGGTGCGCCACATTTACCTGCCATATTTACTTTTCTTGGGCTGTGTTTGAATCTTTTTTGTTACTACAGTAGTAAATAATTATAGATCTGAGATTGATTCTTCAATCTTGTCAACTATGGCGATGGGAATGTGGATTTTTGAATTTTCTTTTCAAGCTGTTGTTAATTGACTTCTTGTGGGACTTGCATTAACTTTCTACAATAGTGTTACTATTTTGACTTTATCCTAGTCATTTAGTGGGCCTTCCCCTAGGACTAGAATACACGGAATTCCCTATTCCACAATTTTCTTTTTGTCAATTCTAAACTTTGCTTTTTGAGAAATTATTTCGTTCTTCTAAAAGTCGTAGTTTGGTAAATGTGCAGTTTTGGTTATTGCATACAGTTTAATCGCTGCTTTTCTATGGAACAGGTTGTAATTATTTGATTGCCAAGGACTTAACAAGCTTGTTTTGGGGTAAGAGGGCATTGATTCAGTCTGTTTTAGAATATATTCTAACAGAACGTTAGCTGTACTAAAAAACCCATCTTTCTTGCTTAGCTGTTTCTTAGATTCTTGAGCAACTTTCAGTGTTTTACAGAGCACAATTACAAAGAGCAGGTTATATGAGAAAAGTGTAATTTTTTTTTTCTTTTGGTCATATTGTATTGAAGAAATGAACAAGTTTCAAGAATTGGGTCAATCTTGAATTTTGCTGAAACTATTTGGTAGTGTGTTTTTCTGATAGTTTTTTAGTTTAAAGGCTACATAGTAGAGTTGTTATTGAAGAATATTTATTATCTTGGTTGTGCAAGAAAAGAAAAGATGGGTTCTTTTCCTGGGCATGTTCTACCTGGAACACTGTTTCTTGTGGTTGGTGTGTGGCATATATGGTGTGCTCTGGTTAGATATTCATCAAATCCCAAGTCATTCAGGGTAAGGGTTTGGAACCCTGTTCCAGGTTTTGATGGGAAGCTGAAATATTTGGAACTTTATGTTATAGCTATTGGAGGTTTTATTGATTTTTGTATTGAGCTCTTCTATTCAACCCACCTCAGACTTTTTGTTCATGGGGTTTTGAATCCTACTCATATGAATAACTTTGAGCATGCTGGGATGCTTCTCATGTTCTTCGTCTTCGGTTTGATTGTGCTCCTTTCTGAGAAAACCAGGTTAGTTTTCCTGTTTCACTATCTTCTTGCCTTTGTTGCTTGTTGGCCCAAGGGTATCTAAATTATAGTGTATGCTATGTACTTATGTAAACTATAGAAGTTAGAAGATCTAGACGATTGCTGTCATAATTAGTTTTTGATCATGTGGAACCCAAATGTCCAGACCCTGTACTACTTAGACTTATGATGCTGAACTGAAAAGCTACGCTCACGAACTCAGTGAAATATAAAGTTGCCAGCTATGGTGCTCCATATGATTGATTTATAATGATTATTTGCTGATAGGAGCATGACTCTGACTTTTTCTCCTTGTAAAGGAACCTATTTAGAAGCATATTGCTTTGTTTGTTAGAATGATGAGAAGATTGACTAATGGTAATCATTGTTTACTTGCTGCTTAATTATTTTGTATTGCAGCTGTATTCTCTGTTCAACATTATGACTTGTTCCTAGGTGATCTACTCATAATAGTTCTTCAGGCTAGTCATAAGTTTTGGAACTTTATACACACAGCATAGTTCTTTTGCTGCATCAGTATAGTTGTATATACAATTTTCTCAATATATAAATCACAATGGACTAAATTTTATCAAGTAATTTACATACTGTCAATTTGGGTTACTTACTGTGCGTCAAGTAAGTTTTCTTTTCCCTACGCCTACTTATCTTTGAAATAATTATATGCACGTACTTCCTGATTGAGGAAGACTGCTCCTCCAGCCCTGAGAAAAGTGGAAAATGACAAAGATTGTAACACATGCAAACCAAGTGAGGTTTTCTCCCCTTGCCAATGGAAAATTGCAAGATGTCTCTAATCGATTAAGCCCTTTTCTAGCCTTCTAACTGCCCTTCCTCGATTCGTCCCGTGGGACACCCTATCTACTTCCCTTTTATTTCTGTTTTCCTGTTTCTAGATGTCCCCGCTTTTAGCACTTCTAGTCTTAAGCAACATTCAAAGTTAAAGGGAAGCAGTCAGAACAGACACCGTAACACATTCATTTAGCTAGATGAGAGGGGTACCAGTTATAGGTATAACAGGTGCTTGGAGACTGAACAAAGATCTTTTAATGGCAGTTGTAGGAACCGAAATTATGAATTCAGTCATACATCTTATTAACATTTGGTTAGTTGGAATCATAGATGAACCATGCTTCTCCACTTAGAAAAGGAGCCAATTCCTGCTTTGTTATTTCACTTAAAGGATACTAAGTTCATGAACTGAGTAGTTCCTTTCAGAAGTTATAGGATTGAATGTGAAGAGTGAGACTTGAGTTTGCACGTCAATGAACATACTTATATTTGAAAACATACTAATACAATCGCACAAAATCTAAGTTTCTGGATGACCTGCACTGGTCCTCAGGGATTTCTCGGTTATAAAAAATGTTTCTGGATGAACTGATGCATGTAAAAGAATACTGCGTATATGTTAAATTAGTGATATCTGATGTTTCTTACACCGACATCAATAGTTATTGAATCTCTCTTTCTGGTCTACCGAACAGGGGTCTGGATTCCCTAGAATGCCTACTCCTTCATGCAATCCTGGTTGGAAATCATGCCTCCAAAGATGTGTTTTGGAATCAGTTTTTATTTGAAATCAACAAGAGAAAAACTAGAGGGCCATACCATCATCAACCTTCCATTTTGGATTTATACACGCATAGGTTAAGATCCATCTAAAATCAGTTAAAAATGAGATATTCATGAATTCGTCGTGCTATCATACAATGTGTTGGAATTCTCCTCCTTCTCAATGATTGCTTGTCTCTTGAGAGAAATATTGTCATCTTACTAATGGTTAGTAGCTTAGATATTAACCAGATCGCGATTACAGTTTCTGTACCCTTTACTAAGTAGAAGCAAAATCTTCCATAATTCACAATCATTTAGTGAGCGAGGAAAAATCTAGTTAAGATGTAGCCATTATTGTATTAGTCATATGATTGGTTTTTGAAGGTCTACTCAGAGGCGGAGCTAGGTTTTCAAGTTTGTGGATTCTGAACTTACACCAAACTCATAATATGTCTTAGTTACTGGGTTCGCAATTATATATTAATACAAATTTAATAGATTTTCTAATACAAATACAAGGTAAACGCAAAAGGTACTGGGTTCGGTCGAACCCGTACAGAATACCCTACCTCCGCCCCTGGGTCTACTTCCCTGTCACCCTCAATTATTGGATAAGGGGTCTCAGTATATGTGGACTATCGACCTTGCACCGAAATCCCTTGTACACACCTTTCGTTCACGGAAAATCTTTTACACACTCAACCTTTCAGAAGTGTGTCCACCGAAATCCCTTGTACACACCTCTCGTTCACGGAAAATCTTTTACACACTCAACCTTTCAGAAGTGTGTCTAAGACACACCACTTTTGTTCTTGACCAATTTTTCAAATAACGTGAAAGTCACGCCCTAATAGGGTCGTGACACGTGTCATTGACCTTAACAAGGAAAACAAATATTAGAATTAGAAATTACAATTAAAACCCATCTTCTTCCCATTTTCTATTTTAAGCACCATTGTTATTGCCACCATAGCTGTTTGTGAGAAAGTTTCCAACAACACCAAAATTCAACCGCACTATCTAAACAACTTAGCCGAAAATAATCGAGCAACAAATTGAGTTCAACAACTCAATAATCAACAAGACCCAATTGAATTTACAAGCTTTTTTCAATACCCCAACAATGGTGGATTCTAGACTTTTTTACCAAATCTTCAACGCTACTATTAAAGCTTTTAAATCTATCATAAATAAATAGTTTTCACAATATTTAGACAATAAACCAACAAAAATTGCTCAATTTTAGATCTAAAATTTTATGTTTTTTCAAAAATTCTATTTGGGGAAGAAGAGGGGGGAGGGTGGTCTGAGGAAGAAGACCAGAGGGAGGGGGAGGGGTTTCTGTGGGGAAGGGAGACAAAAAATGGGATTTTTTACGGGTTTCACGCATTTTTTTGTGTGTAAACACGCAAGTGCTATCTGGTCAAAAGTAGTGTGTCTTAGACACACTTTTGAAATGTTGAGTGTGTAAAAGGTTTTCCGTAATGAAGAGGTGTGTAACAGGGATTTCGCTACAAGGTTGATGGGTAAACTATGTATTCTGCTAATAAACTACAGTATATGTGGACTATAAATAAACTATCTGTCAAACTTTGAACATTTTTATTTGTATGGCTGTCTGTTTGTCTTGGATTTTTCAATTCCATCACGCTCTTAACAACACATTGTGCTCTCATCGTGCAGTTTTCTTCCCTTGCCTGATGGAGCTCTCTGCTTGATCGCGGCCACAGCTTTCTGTGCAGAGTATTTCCTGTTCTATTTCCACTCCACAACCCACAAAGGCCTTGAAGGGTACTATCACCTTATCCTTGTCCTCCTCATAGGCCTCTGTGTATTGTCAACTATCGCTGGAGCTCTTATGCCAACCAGCTTCCCTGTTGACTTGGTTAGCGGCATTTCTGTAACACTTCAAGGCCTTTGGTTCTATCAAACTGCATTCACTCTGTATGGTCCCATGATGCCAGACGGTTGCCAACTTAAGGGGAACGACATCATATGCCGTTCAGCAGATAGTGAGGTTCGGGGCGAGTTGCTAGCAAACTTTCAACTTTTCTCCATGGTGTTTGTTGTCCTTGCTGCTACTGCAGGAGCTTATGGTTTTGCAGCTTCCGGGACTGGTCATTCAGAAATTAGGAATTCACATGCGCCTCTTGATGGTTAGGAAAATCTACAGTATGATAACCATTTTTGTACCATATTCTTTTTGGTAGGGAAAGGCCTTGAATGAACATTTTCAGATGTTGCTCTTAAATTATTCATTTGCCTTGCCTAAGTGTAAATTTGACATTGAAAAGTAGACTATCCGTGGGTTGCTACTGATTTAAGTTAGTTGCTGATAACGATGGACTAAGCACAAAATAATTTGATGGTAATTGCAGATGTAGGTGTTTAGTCTTTTCTTAAATGCAACGGATGGTAATTACTCCTTCTGTTCACTTTTACTTTTCCACTATTGACTTTGCATACCCCTTAAGAAATAATAAATAAAGTGCATAATTTATCATGAAATCCATATTAATTAGTGTATAGTCTTAATCGGTGATTTAAAAGGCGTTTTCGGGGGAGCCCTGGGGCGAGGCATACCAAAAACGCCCTGGGACGATGGTGTGGGGCGAAAGTCTCAAGAGGCGTACGCTCACTTTTACTTTTTCACTATTGACTTTGCATACCCCTTAAGAAATAATAAATAAGGTACATAATTTATCATGAAATCCATATTAATTAGTGTATAGTCTTAATCAGTGTTTTAAAAGACGTTTTCGGGGCGAGGCGTACCAAAAACACTCCGGGGCGATGGTGTGGGGCAAAAGTCTCAAGAGGCGTACACCTGGGCGTTCGGGGTAAGTTTTTTTTAGTAAGGCGTAAGCCCTAGAGATATTTTTAAATTAAAACAAAATTTGTTGGATAAGTCCTTCATATAATACCCAAATGTTCAAAATTCAGCTTAGTAATTACTCAAAAGTTTTAAAAAGAAACTAAAATGTATTAAATTTAAAAGTCAAGACCTTTTTTATTGATCGAAGCCCTAATTCATGGTCTTTCCCAATTCTTTATCTTGCCTGCTAATCTACTAATATCTCTCAAAAACAACGAATATTCAATTTTTTTTTCAACAAATACAAAGAGAACTCCATTCTCATTCATAGCAGCAAGTTCAAAGTTCAAATTGAAGGTTAGTCATCCTTTTTATTCCTCCAAGTAGAAAACTTTATTCTTTTCTACTCAAGTTACTTGAGCTTCTAAGTATCGTATAATAGATTGTTTTGACTAGTTTTTGTGGAGATGAAGCACATCTCTCTCTCTCTCTCTCTCTCTCTCTCTCTCTCTCTCTCTATATATATATATATATATATATATATATTCACATATTTATAGTTTTCTTCATTTTTTATGCAATTTTACATGTTTATAAATATTTACTGTAATTATATTATTTTATAAAATATTAAAAATTAAATACCTATGGAGCTTACGCCCCGTACCTCGGGACTTACGCCTCGCTAAGACATATGTAAAATGCCTCGCATTACGCCACGCCTTATGCCACGCCTTTTAAAACACTCGTCTTAATAGATTTGAAAAATAATTTAGAATGAACAATTAATGCTAAGGGCAAAATAGAAAAAATAAATTATTTTTCTCTGTAACAAATAAAAATAAAAATTTATTTTTAGAATACTTACGACAAGTGAACGAGTAGTTGGAAAATTTTCTTTAAAGCTCAAGATCTCTTGCTTTCTTAAGTGCGTGTTCGCAAAGCCTACTAGGTAATTCCGTGCATCATGTTTGGTATCACAAGTAGTAATTAAACAATCTAATCATTTTTTATTTAAAATAAGTGTTGTAATTTCCAAAAAATTAAATAAGTATGTGAATCGCAAATGAGCTTAATAGTATATTTGGCCAAGCTATAAAATTAACTTATTTTGAGAGTGTTTTTTTTTTCTTTCTCAAAAGTGCTTTTTCCAAAAATACTTATGGTGAGAAACAATTTGTGTTTGGCTAATTAATTTGAAAAGTATTTCTGAGCAACAATTAGCATTTGGTTAAGTTTTAAAAAACTGTTTCTAAGTATATTTTTCTCAAAAATACTTTACAAAAAAGTTCTTTTAGAGAGAAGCTAATTTTTTCGGTTTATCCAAAACCGCTTTTGCTACTACTCAAAAACAGAGGCGGATGCAGCCTACTAGTTACGGGTTCAACTGAACCCATAACTTTTGACGCGGAGTAAAAAATTGTATGTAAAAATTCATTAAAATTGTAAAAATAGTAGATATGAACCTATAACTTTAAAAATATAATGAGTTCAATGTTAAAAATCTTAAAATTGAACCCATAAGATTTAAATTCTGGATCCGCCTCTGCTCAAAAACACTTTTTTTTTCTTCCAAAAGCTTATCAAACACTTCAACTTTGAAAAAAATACTTTTTTTTATAGGATTAGAGAATCTTGGCCAAACAAACTATAAACTGCTTATAGATATACGTGTATCTAATAAAAATTATGAATAATTTATCACCTCCTATTTTAAAACACATATTTTGTGAGTAATTGTTTTCATTTTGAAAATAACAAATATTTTAACAGATAGACATGGGATGTGAAAGCATTTCACTAAAACAAATACTCCACTCATTGATGAAAAAGTAGTAATTAGCATGGAGGAAAAAGTAGAAGGAGGTAGTGTGAAAAAATGGAGATAACAAAATTTAAAGTTAACTTTTGAATAATTACACATTATAACTATCACTAACAGTCTTATGAGAATTAAAAAATGTAATTGCTCGTCCTCCGTGACATACAAATTCAAATTGATTAAGTAATTTCTTGATTAGGTAAATATGTTAAAACTGGTGTACTTATACCAAAATAAAATTCTAATGTGACTTTCCTCACACCCTATATAACAAATCGTATCTTCATATTATACTTTGGGAATGATTCGACAAAATTCATTGAAGCTCTCAATTTAAGTTCAATTTATTAAACAAGGAAAAGGACAGAAAACCAAACGTTTGTCCAAAAGATCAAGCACATTATCGTCGTTTGGCAAAGAAAAGGACAAATGATTTCAAGGGCTCGTTTGGTACGACAGTAAGAATAATTAATTTTGAGATTAAATTTAAGAAGAGTTTATCTCATATTTGGTTGGTAGAAAATTACGATATAATTAATTTCGAGATTGTAGTATTTTCGTAAAAAGTTAAAATAACTAATCCCACAATAATTAGTTATGAGATAACTTATTTCCAACCAAACGACCTTAAAGATCAATCTTAACTTGTCTTACGCTTACAACTAATCATATACCGTCACCTCCACTCCAAGACCCTCAATCATGACCGAGAATGTGTCTCAATTACAACGTGGCAATCACAGTTGTGTCTGTCAGATCATATTCCCCACCTTCCAGTAAATATCCATCGGACGCTGAAGTTGACTTGCCACCTGGCACCGGAATATGCTTAAACGAGTCCCATGGAAATCAAAATCAAATTCTATCTGAATACACCAACCAAAAAAAGAAACTTTATGCGATAAAATAAAAAAGAAACATAAAGAGCTTTCAAAAGAAAACAAAAACATTAGTATACTACTAGAGTATATTTTATGTAATTTTTTTTTGATAATCCCAATTCTTCCCACTGTTTCTTTCTCTTCCATTCGCCGGCCATTTTACTCTGCAATTCTGGTGGCGCAGATCATGTGAGCCTCTCCCCCACCCCGCCCCTCCTCCTCCTTCTTTCTACCTACAGATACATATGTTGTATCTCTTTCCTCTGTGTGTGTACTCCAGTAGATGCACTAGCTCCATAATTGTGTGCACGCACCTATATTTGACTATCTCAAGTAAAGCCACGTAGGTTGCACTCACACATTAGCTCATTTTACGCGCTGCTTTTTTTTTTCTTCACAAATTGAGGAGATTCGAACTGTTTTAGCTGCGACCATCAATTTGGAATAAATTTTTGTTGTCGTCTAGTGAATTTCGGAGTGTTCGTTTGGTTTCAGTCAGTGAATTTGAAATTTGAACTTTGCGGATTGATTGGAAGCTTCTCTTTTTTTTGGGGGGGGGGGGTGTGGATTTTTTTAATGGAATTTGCAATAATGATAATCGATAGTGTCGCATAGTGTTAATCGAATTGGCGGAAGTGAGGATTCCACTGGTCTTCCGGTTTTCTGAAAATTTTTGGAGTTTTTTTTTTGTTTCAACAATTTGGATTCTGAAAACGTGTAAATATATAATTGGACTGTTGTTAGATGTCGAAAGTGGTGTATGAGGGATGGATGGTGAGGTATGGGAGGAGGAAGATTGGGAAATCCTATATTCATATGCGTTATTTTGTTCTTGAGACTCGATTATTGGCCTATTACAAGAAGAAGCCTCAGGACAATGTGGTGAGTTTCCTTAATTCCATTTTCTTTGAATTTGAAATTGATAGTCAGCTGTTCAGTACTTTGTGACTTTGAATTCAGATTACTTGACCTTTTAATTTGAATTGTTACAGACTTGATATTCTTTGTAATTATTATCCAAGCTTAGTGTAGGGAGTTGAAATGCAGTGAATTTGGAGTTGTTGAACTGGTGCTTTATATAAAAGCGCTTCAATGTTTGATGTCCTGTTGTTGCCATGATCATTAGGTTCCAGTCAAGACTCTTCTAATAGATGGCAATTGTCGGGTGGAAGATCGCGGCTTGAAGACTCACCATGGACATGTGAGTTGTTCTGTACTGCTGTTGATATTCGTTTTCCATTAGTATATACGGATTAGTAAATTTATTCGGGAGATACTGATCAATTTTATTGAGTTAAGTGGGTTTGGTGGGTCCAGATTGATAAACTGTTATTGTTGGACTAGGATATGTTGGTGTGAAATGCACATATAGATGAATCGTTAGCAACTCTTAGATGTTTGATTAGAAGGATAAGCGGTAACAACCCGGGATAAAACTTGGGATTATTTTATTCCGCGCTTGATTGTTACCACAATTGTCGTATTGTTTTTATACCACACTCAATATGAGATAAGTATGACACATAAATTGGGACAGAGGGACTAACATATAGAAATTTGAGTTCATACACAGATAGGCTGATGTAAGATGTCACCCAACGGTGTGGCCTAGCGGTCAATGAAGATGGTGAAAGAAAATCTTGGAGAACAGGGTTCAAATATGAGCAAAGACAATAAAGTTAGAGATTTCTTCCATCTGTCTAAGTCTTAGGGGGCAAAGTTACCCAACACTTGTGCTAGTGAGAAGTTGCTGGTATACGGTGGAATAGTCTAGGTACACGCAAGTTGGCCCAAAAACCATCGTTATAAAAGAGAAGATGTCATTTCACCTACATTGTATTTGGAGTTGCCACTTGGCTGG